GCCTGGAGAAGCTGGAGTTGAGGGTGCCTCTCCGGGCTCTTGAGGCACCTAGGACAGCGTCACGGATCCCCCTCAGGACTGCCTTGACGGGACTCACACACTTTCAGCCTGTCTCCCAGCTCAGCCCTTGATGACAGGTCCACAGGGAACACTGACTGGGAGGAGGAAGGGACCATTAGCCTGGAAGTTCTGGCACCTGGCTGTGGGCTCAGGCTCAGGGTTCACTGCCTCTGGCAAGAACAAGCCCCAGCTACCTCACAATGGAGGCTGCCCAGGCAATAGGCTGCTGCCCAGGATGCAGAGTGCCACCTGTACCAACATCTCCAGCTGGAGGTAAACCGTGGCTTATGCCAGCTTAAATGCCAACTGCCCAGGAGGACAGTATGGACCGCCGCCTAATTAGGAAGGGGGTAAATGGATACTTCTAAAAAGACATTTGTGGGCTGGAGAGAGGGCTCAGTTCAAGCATGAGGACCTGAGTTCAATCCCCAGAACCCATGTAAAAAAAAAGCCAGGTGTGGTGGTACACACTTGTGATCATGGTGCCAGGAGGTGGAGACTGGAGGATTCTTAGGGCTCACTAACCAGCCTAGACTACTTGGAAAGCTCCAGGCCAGTGAGAGCTCTACACACACACACACACACACACACACACACACACACACACACACACACACACACACACACATTGGTTGGGGCATGGTAGCAGATGGCTTTAATCCCAACACTCAGGAGGCAGACGACGGGTGGATCTATGTGAGTTCGAGACCAGCCTGGCCTACATGGTGAGTTTCAGGACAGCCAGGGCCACATAGTGAGACCCCATCTCAACAAGCAAACAAACACCCCAAATCAGAACCATGAGCTGATGAACTGCAAGCCCTCTGTAACCACAGGCCAAGATGAACCTTTTCTGCTTCAGTCAGTTATTTCTGGTTTTTTGTTTTGTTTTTGTTTGTTTTTTAGAGACAGGGTTTCTCTGTGTAGTTTTGGTGCCTATCCTGGATCTCTCGCTATAGACCAGGCTGGCCCCAAATTCACAGAGATCCACCTGGCTCTGCCTCCTGAGTGCTGGGATTAAAGGCATGCGCTACCACCGCCCGACCCTATTTCTGGTCTTAACAATGAAAAGGTAACCTCTGGAATCACCCAGGGAACTCCTGTCCAGGGCAGTGAGCAGTGATTAAAAGCGAGACAGTAGGGAGACAAAGTGGGCTAATTCTGAACAGTTACATTTTTTTTTTAAAATTTACCTCTTTATTTTTTTTTTAAGATTCATTATTTATTTGGGGACGTGCCACAGTGTGTGGGAGGTTAGAGAACAACTTGTGGGAGTCCGTTCTCTCAGCGTGCGGGTCCTGCAGTTCCAACTCAGGTTGTAAGGATGGCGGCAAGTCCTTTACCTGCTGAGCCATCTCCCCATCCCCTCTGGGTACTATATTATTACTGTTGTTGTTATCATTACATTTTGAGATAGGGTCTCTTTAGTAACCCTGCCTCTCTCTCTCTTTTACCAGTCTGGTCTCGAACTCACAGAAATTCACCTGCATCTGCCTCCCGAGCACTGAGATTAAAGGCATGCGCCACCACCCCTGGCTGGTGAGCACTGTTTTAAATGTGACGGCCCAGAGGATGTGCTGATGGACTTTATATGTGAGGTATAAAAGAAAGGGAGTAGTTAAGGATCACCCCGATCTGGGGGCCGAGGAAGAGGAAGAACGGGCAGGGCATCAGCACAGTATTGAAGCTGCCTTCCCAGAGCTGGTGCGCTGTGATTTCATCCTGTGTCTGTGGGGGTGGTCTGGAGGCTTTGCTTATGAGGGCGCCACTGTCACATACTTCACCCTTGAGCGTTACCCTCGCTATGACAACCTTGAGGAGACACTTGTTCCCTGCAACCTTTTTTTTTTTTTTTTTTTGGTTTTTCGAGACAGGGTTTCTCTATGTAGCTTTGCGCCTTTCCTGGAACTCACTTGGTAGCCCAGGCTGGCCTCGAACTCACAGAGATCCGCCTGCCTCTGCCTCCCAAGTGCTGGGATTAAAGGCGTGTGCCACCACGGCCCGGCTTCCCTGCAACCTTTAATCCCGCCACAGAAGGCAACTGTGAGTCCCTTTTACTCCTCAATGGCAAGGAAATCTCTCTCTCTCAGTCTCTGTCTGTCTGTCTGTCTGTCTGTCTCTCTCTCTCTCTCTCACACACACACACACACACACACACACACACACACACACACACACACACACACACAAGCCTTCACCCTTAGCTGAGGAGCTACTTGGCAGTTGATGGCTTCTAAGGGAGGAAGAGCCAGTTTTAAGGCCGTGGTAGGATGCGCATGCTCCATGGATGGCCCCACACCCATGAGTGCATGGGTGGTGCAAACTGGACTCAGTGGGTAATTAAAAAGAAGAGGAAGCAAGATTGGGAGGAAGTGGAGAGTGAGGGTGGATCTGGAAGGATTGAGGGGATGTCCTGGATAGTTTTATGCCAACTTGACACAGGCTGAAGTCATCTGAGAGGAGGGAACCGCAATTAGGAAAATACCTCCATGAGATTGGGTTGTAGGCAAGCTGTAAGGTATTTTCTTAATTAGTGATTGACAGGGGCGGGCCCAGCCCATTGTGGGTGGTGCCATACCTGGGCTGTTGGTTCTGGGTTCTGTAAGAAAGCAGGCTGTGAACAAGTCATGGAGAGCAAGCCAGTAAGCAGCACCCTTCCATGGCCTCTGCATCAGCTCCTGCCTCCAGGGTCCTGCCCTGCTTGAGTTCCTGTTCTGGCTTCCTTCAATGATGGACTATGATGTGAAAGTGTAAGCCAAATAAACCCTTTCCTGGTCGTGGTGTTTCTTTGTAACAATAGAAACCCCAACTAAGTCACGAGGGAAAAGGAGAACATGCTCAAAATACATTGTATGCATGTGTGAAATTCTCAAGGAATTAATGCAAATATTATATTGAAAAATAGAAGAATCCGGCAGGGCCGCATGGTGGTTTTGCCCTTCTGTTCTGAGGAACTCAAACATGCCCATTTTCAGTGGCGGAACCTTTTGACAGTACCCCCTGTGGTGACTAAGCCTTCCTCTTTCCTGTGGGTCTGTGTTAAGGAGTCCGAACTTGAGCAGGGTGTAGGAGGACAGAATAAACACTCAGCTAAGTAGACAAAGGAGCAGGGTCACAGGTCACAAATTCCGTGTGCAGGTTTCAGGAAGGCAAAACTCAGATGAGGAAGAAGGAATCACACCCTAGAGCCAACAGTCTTCTCCAGTGTCTGAGTGCTGGCACGTGTCCCTCCCCCCCAGACAGCCACCGACACCATGTGGCAATCCTGCTTTTGGAAGAGATGGTAATAGTACATGTATGGGAAAACTTACCACTGTCACCATGCAGGCCATTATCACTAAGCACAGGGGTCACTGTGCATTCACAGGGCTGTGCAGTTTCTAAGACTCTTCCAGAAACTTCTTTTAGGATGAGTGGGCATGGCAGTGCATGGGGTGGGGGTTGGGGGACAGAGGCAACCTGATCTCTGTGAGTTTGAGGCTAGCCTGGTCTACACTGGAAGTTCCAGGTTAGCCAGTGCTATAGAGCAAGACCCTGTTTCAGGATTTTTTGTTTTTTGTTTTTTTGTTTTTTTTTTTTTTGTTTTTTTTTGGCCAGTGAAATGGATCCATGGGTAAAAATACTTGTCACCAAGCCTGATGACCTGAGTTCCATCCCTGAGACTCATATGGAGAGAGGAGAAAATATATTCTCAAAGTTGTCCTCTGACTTACACACACACACACACACACACACACACACACACACATACACGCTAAAGAAATACAATGTAATTTTTCTCCTTTCTTTTTAACTTCACTTTCACTTTGCTCAAAGACCTTTAGGCCTGGCAGAGCAGCAGGGAGCTGTGATAACAAATGCCTGGGTTCCACACCCTCTTCTCTCTATGATGGGTCTTCAGCTAACTGATCTTTCTGAGCCTGGCTCATCTGAAAACAGCGGTATATACATACCTCAGGAACTGTTCTCACTGCTGTGACCACAGGTCCAACAAAAGCCACTCAAGGAAGGAAGGGGTTAGATTGGCTCCCGGTTTGAGGACACAGTCCATCATGGGAGGACAGCATGGTGGCAGGAACATGAGGCACTAATCACGTGGCATTCACAGTCAGGAAGCGGAGAGAGAGGAATGCCCACACTTAGCTTGTTTCTTCCTTTTTATTCAGTTCACAGCCCAGCTCATGGGATGGCGCTGCCCATATCCAAAATGGGTCTTCACTTCTCAGCCAACCCTGTCTGGAAACACACCTCACCTGTGGGTGTGTCTTCAAGGCGATTATACACGATCTTCTGTACTCCCTGAACCAACATCGAGCCCCAAAAGTTAAAGAAAGGGCAGCTGAGTTGGGTGTGGTGGCACGCATTTATAATCCCAGGAGAGGAAAGCAGGAAGATCAGGCACTCAGGACAGCCTCGGCCACATAGCAAGGAAACCCTGCCTCAAAGGAGGAAGAGGAAGAGGAGGAGGAAGGGAAAAGTCACGTGTACACCCATGACTATGTCTGAATAACCAGACAATACTAACAACTTGAAAATAGAGCTGTCACTCAGCTCTGCTCATGAGTAGTTGAGATGATGTGGATAATTGCTAATGAGCCCTAGCTGGCATCTGTCCCTTACATCGGTGTTTCTTATGTTATGCATTCCAAGATTTAGTTATAGCCGGTTAGGTCTCAACAATAAGATTAGGGGCTGGAGAGGTGGCTCAGTGGTTAATAGTGCCTGCTGCTCTTGCGGAGGACCTGATTCATTCACAACCACCTGTAACTCCAGCTCCAGGAGAGCTGATATCTTCCTGTGGCCTTTGAGGACACACACACACACACACACACACACACACACACACACACACACACACCTAAAAAAGTCAGCTCCACAGAGCTGAAAGAGATGGTAGTCTCAGGGTAGAAGACATCACCAAATTTCCATTTATAGCACATTTACTGTTGGCCAAAGCCAGTTACAAGGTGACATGTAGACCACCATTTGGTAGACCAAGATGCCACACTACATTGTCACAGGTATTTATAAAACTTTTAAACTATTATATAAGAACCGTGTATTATGTCTGTGCCCAGTAGGTAATCGAGGATGTTCATTGCAAGAATTTAGAAATAAAAACCTACTCCAGTGATGTCTGTGTCTGCTGCCCTTGGCTCATAAGCTTGACCCGGCATTTTTCTTACTCACTGCTGGACTTCTGAGTTGGGCTAAAACTTCAGTGGTCTAGAAAGTTCAATGCCCTTATCTGTAACACAGACGGTGTCTTTTTGCCTGAGCATTGTGACTCACCTCAGCCCCTTTTATCTTGATGCTGGGGTGAGCATCATAAGTGTTCCCAGTCACTGCCAGGAAAAGGATGTGACCTGTTTACCAAAGGTTGAGCCGGCGGAGATCTCCAAAAGCTGGCCCTTGCTGCCCCCTAGTGGCTGCTTTTTGCATAGCTCCACTCAAGGTATGAAATTCGATAAAGGACCAGAAACAGGAGGGTGGAATCCAAAAGCTTCCATAGGAGAGCTCTCCACTGTGAGGAAGACTCGAGGATGAGCAAGGTTTGCTTTTGGCTTTGTTTTGTTTTGCTTTTGTTTTTTTTAAATGACAAGCTACACCTTGTATCTGGTGAGTCTTGTTTCTTCACGTCTTAGACCAGAGAAAAGGTGAAACAATAGACACCGTACGTCACCATGGGTGAGGGAGGCTCTGTCACTGAATAAACACAGTGGCATTGGACACGGGGAGAGAGTTCCCGGGCTCAATCAGCTCATCCAGGGCCTGGTAGGTCCCCACCACGAAGCCCACGAAGCCCAGGATGCTGATGAGGGCATCCTTGATGATGGTCAGGGGGCTCAAGCCCTCCCCGTAGTAGGTGGTCACCTCCAGCAGGGGCGGGATGATGAGGGCCAGGGTGCTGCTGCTCACGGAGCCCACCAGGGAGAGGACCAGGTCCAGGCGTGGGATGAGGATGGCCAGTGTGCCTATGGGAGAGGAAGGGGGACAGATGGAGAATCCCAGCTTTAAAGCCTTTAAAGACGGTTATTGAAGTTACTTTTAAAAGAAACCAAACCTCCCTCAGATGTTCAGTTTTGCAAATAAAAGTTGAGGGCTGGGGATGTAGCTCAGTTGCTAGATGCCTGCCTAGCGTGCATGAAGCCCTGGTTCTGTCCCCGGTTTCCATGGTAACACATGCCTACAACTCCAGCATTTTGGAGGTGAAGGCTGGAGGACCAGGAGCTCAAGGTTCCCTTTGGCTACCTAGTTTAGTTTGAGGCCAACCTGAGCTATATGAGACTGTATAAAAAGGGACAAAATGAAATAAATAATAAAAAAAAAAGGCAGGGTGTGGTGTTGCCTGCCTTTGGTCCTAGCACTTGGGAGGCAGAGGCCAGCCTGGTCTACACAGTAAGATCTAGGCTAGTCAGGGATACATACTGAGACCCCATAAAAACAAAACAAAACAACAAAATTAACCTTAAAACAACAACAACAAACAAATGGGAGATGGCTCTGTGGGTGTAGGCACGTGCTGCTAAGTCTGATGATCTGATTCTGATCCCCAGACACACGGGGTAAAAATTGTCCTCTGACCTATACACATGTGAACGATACATAAAATAGATGTAAAAAACTTAAGAAGAAGGAAACGGTGGAGAGCTCCCAGGACACCTGTTCTTATCTCAGGGGTGACACATTAATGATTGATGCCGCTCATTCCTGTTATCCAGATCGAGCGTGACAGGGCAAGACAGAGCAGAGCTTCCTCCATCTTGTATTCTTGCTGAGGCCATTTCAGGTTTAATTAGAATTTGATCTCCTTGATGGAGAATTCTGTGGAAAATGACCCAACTCTATTCCAGGAACCTGAGGTCAGGATGCCCAGCTAACTTACCTCAGCTTCTGTTAAACTATCTGCTTGTGTAACCCCCTCTCCCTTCAGCTCCAGAGTGAGGCACTGAGATGTGGATTTTGCCTTTAAAGACCGCTTGCTCTAAGTATTCAGGGCTACACTTGGGTCCCTGAATACCTGAGTATAGTCCGGGCCGGCTGGAATAAAGACTTCCAATCAGCTACAAACGGAGTGGTCATCCCTGGTGGGTTCCCCACAACACTGTGTGTTCATATTGTTGGGTTGTTGAGGGGGGATTTTCTTTACTCAGGTTCAGTGTCTGGGGTTCTTTCAGAGATTATCAAGAGAAAACACAATGTTCATTTGTGAGCTGCATCCAGGAGAGTCCAAGGGATGGCAATGTACACTCAGGTAATGAAGGAAGCAGGCTTGACTCATAAGCACGGGGTCCTAGCAGTACCCACCATTCCCCAAAACCAAAGAGAATGGAAGGCAGGCCAGTTTCAGATGGTTCCTTAATTCCAATATGACAATGCTAGCCTTCTGTTGGGCTGGCCTTGCAGACAGCGGTGTGAAGGGGGGTGGGGTGGGCGGGCTGTGTTTCCAGAACACCCTAGCTAGTCACGATTTTTACTCAATCTCTGTTCAAATGTCAATAGCCTCAAATGATCTTCTGTTACTACCATTTCACGCATGTGTGTTCTGATCTCTTTCCCTGTCAAATAATTTTTGTGCATATTTTCATTTTTTATCCTTTGACAATTTCCTGTGGGTATATACTGTATGTTGGTCACACTCACCCCCGACTACCCTCTCTTGTCCCTCTCCCACAAGCCCCCAGCCACATCCATGTCTTTTTATAAACGACCCTCTGGATTTAATTAGGGTTGTCAGCACGAGCCTGGGTATGGGGCTCGTTTTAAATGTTGGCCTAAATTTACACGAAGTCCTGGGGGACCAACAGCACTTGTTGCCCGGGCATTCTCCCTGCCAGCCTTGGGGGGGGGAGGGGTGCTGCCTCTGGACTTTGATGACCTGGCTTTGAATCCCGCTTGCTTTTCTTCATTAATATATTTCTTTAATTTAGTTACATTTATCTATTGAATGTATATGTGTGGAGTGTGTGCCTCGGCACATGTGTAGAAGTCTGAGGTGACTTTTAGGAGTTGAGGCTCTCCTTCCACGGTGTGGGTTCCGGGGACTGAACTCAGGTTGTCAGGCTTGGGAGCAAGCGTCTGCCAACTGAGCCATCTGACGGGCCCTTTGCCACCACTATTAACTATCGAGAAAGCATCTCATCTAACTCAGGCTGGTTTCAAACTTGCTACACAGCCAAGGGTGACCTTGAACTTCTGATCCTCCTGACTCTACCTCCAGAGTGCTGGGATCACAAGAATGCATCAACACACCCTCTTTAGGAGGCTCTGAAGAATGAATGCGTGCCAGGCAAATACTTAGACACTAGGCCATGTTCCCAGCTCCCAACACTCACAGGCCAGTTATTTGACAGTGTCCTCCTTCATGAGCATTCTCATGGGGACTGAATAAATGCTATGAAATACAGCCTAGGAAGGGTTTACCACAGTGCCTTGCACACTCTGTATCCTGATTATTATTTAACACACTGGATATCAATGAATCCGTCCTTTGGCTGGGCATCAGCACACCTGTCTAATTAGGGCACATGTAAGAATGGTTCAAATGGGGGTTGGAGAGATGGCTCAGTCAAGTGTCTACCTTGTAGGGCCCAAGGACCTGAGCTGGATCCCTAGAACCAGGCATGGTGGGGTACACTTTTAACCCCAGCGCTGGGGAGGCATAGGCAAGTTGATCTCTGGAGCTTGCTGACTAGGTAGCCTAGCCTAACTGGTAAGTTCCAGGCCAATGAGAGACCATATTTAAAAAAAAAAAAAAAAGGTGGTAGTACCTGAAAAATGTCACCGGAGTTGTCATCTGCCTCTACTTGTATGCACACATATGAATGTACACACACACACACACACACACACACACACACACACACACACACACACACTTCTCGGGAAATGGCCAGGAGGCTCCCTGAGACTCTGTTCTACTCACATGTGAGGCAGACCATGGCGATTCGGATGGACAAATCCACAGGCAGTGCCCAGCGCTTGGACACCTGGGAAACAGCAAGGGGGATGATGATTTCCGCCGGGACGTAGAACTGCAGGGCGTAGGTGCACAGGATGCCGACAACATACAGGAGCTTGACCGACTGGTACAGCCTGCAAGACATGCAGCCATGTTCTCCATGGCCTGACACCCTTCCTGGGGACAGCAGCCTCGGACTTTGGGACAGTCCCCTGGGTCTGTGTTTCCTTCTCCGAGTATGGAGGAGTCTCACCAGAGTGGAGAGAACAGAGAAGTGTGGAGGGTATGACCGTAGCAGAGAGAAGGGCCGTGTAGATGAGAAGCCAGCAGCCCTGGGCATGTGCACATGTGGTGCCTTGACAGACCACTCTGGGAAGTGAGGACAGACAGGCTGACGCCAGGTACTTCTCCCAGGAAGACTCAACAGCTAAGTGGCCAGGGTCCCAAAGCCTGGGTCTAAAGTCCTTTGTGATTGGAGTCTAGGAACTGTCTGTGCCCCCCAAGTATGCGGTACATCAGGAGCCCTCAACAAGCGCTCAGCTTAGTTTGGAGACCTGCCAAGTCCTGAATAATTGAGAGGGAAAAGATGTTGTCTGTGGGTTGTGTGGAGACAGGAAAGGAGAAGCAGGGTCGTGGGCGGGCTTGAAGCTGAGGGCAGGGAGAAGGGCGAGGCTTCAAGGGAGTTAAACGTGTGTGTGTGTGTGTGTGTGTGTGTGTGTGTGTGTGTGTGTGTGTGAGTGTGTACACCACATGCATGTAGAGGCCAGAGGTTGATGTCAGATGTCTTCCTCAGTTCCTTTGCACTTTATTTTTGGAGACTACATCTCTCCCTGAACCTGGAGCTCACCAATTCAGCCTGGCTGGCTGGACAGTGAACCTCGGGGCCACATGCCACATGCCTAGCTTTTTTTTTTTGGGGGGGGGTGTTGTGATCGGATTCAGGGTGTTCATGCTTGCATGTCAAATTCTCTTACCTGCTAAACCTTCTCTACAGCCCTGTTTCAAGTTTTCAACCCTAGCTCCCTTGACTTGAGGGGAGGGGTGTCCAGTGGCAGTAGACACTTAGTCATGAGCCTGGGAGGGGAACCAGAAGGTTCCATCCCACAGACAGAAGGCTTTGGTCTTCCTCCCGCACTCCCATCTTCTCCCCCAAGGTGGCCAAGGACTCTGGCTTTCCTTCTGTCCTTTCCTCTTAGCTGTGTTTCCTTCCCACTAAGCTACCAAGACCCGACTCAACCTGGAGGCTGCTGCGGACACACCTCTGTAGCCCAAGGTTCCAATGGTGGCTCCATGGCTCCCAGTGGGAGTGTCTCTAGACCTGGGTCTCCCTGCTCTGACAGGGAGAGGAAGAGAGCCACACGTTTCTACACATCTCTCAATCCCCACCACCCAGGAGCCGTGAAGGTACCAGCAGTTGGGCAGGTTAAGAGTGATGCTGGCTTTGATGTCATCTCCAAACCGCAGGTAGCCCAAGGCCCCGATGGCAATGTACAGGGAGGTGACGATGGACATCCCCAGAGACAGAATGGTTGGGAAGCGGCGGGCATCCTTCATCTTGTTTTCCAGAGGCAGGACCTACAAGAACATCACATTGTAAGGCTAGGATAACAACAACAATGGCAGTAGCAGTATCAACCAGGAGCACAAAGAAGAGAAAGCCTTGCTGCCTCTGGAGTGCTCCCAAATGAGTCAAAGAAGGGACTTGAAAAGATGTTTGTACGCTCCTGAGCATGTCAGTATTATTCATGATTAGGAGGTGGGAGGCAGACAAGCATCCACCATTAGAAAATGAGTAAATAAAATGTGGTACATCCATGCAGTGGAATATTATACAGCCTTTAAAAAGGAGGAAATTCTGGGGCTCAGCAGTTAAGAGCACTGGTTGCTCTTGTAGAGGACCCAGATTCAGTTCCCAGGACCTAGATCAGGCAGCTTACAACCACCTGTAACTCCAGCACCATGTGATCTGACACCCTCTTCTGGTCCCTGTGGGCACTAGACACATATGCAGTGCACATACATACATGCAGGCAAAACACTCATACACATAGAATAAAAAGAAATAAATCTGTTTTAAAACAAAGGAAATTCTGACACTCATTGCTACGTCTGTGGAGGCCAGAAGAGGGTGATGGATCTCCTGGAGCGGCAGTTACAAGCTGATGTGGGTGCTGGGACCCGAATCTTGGTTCTCTCCCAGAACAGCCAGTGCTCTTAACTACACAGCCATCTTGGCGCTTCTGATTTATGACGATAGCCATTTGGACAGGAGTGAGGAGATACCTCCCCGTCACACCCAATGGCTGATGAGAAGGTGCATATTTTCATGTAGTTGATGGCCATTTGTAGTTCTTGTAGAAGTCTCCACTTGGGTCATTCACCGGTTTTGCAGCTGGATTATTTTGCTGCTGTTGGCAGGGTCCCTTATACATCCTGGCTGTCAGCCCTCATCCTGGGTGTCAGCCCCCTGCCGTGTGAGCATGCGCCTCTTGTTCTGAAGGCTGTCTCCCCTCCGCTCCTTCCTATGCTCTGAAGATGCCCTTAGCCCCATTTGTCGGTTTACTTTTGTTCTCTGTGCCTTTGGAGTCATACCCAGAAAAGCCAGTCCCCAACCCACCACTGTGTCTGACCACCCCACAGCATTGTCTTCTAGAAGTCTGAGACTTTCCAGTCTTCCATTAATGTCTGCGATCCATTTTGAGGTTTTGTTTTGGTTTGTTTTTTTTGGTTTTTCAAGACAGGGTTTCTCTGTGCAGCTTTGCACCTGTCCTGGAACTCACTCTGTAGACCAGGCTG